TTATAACATTGAATGCATAGATTGGAAAAGAACATAACTCTACAATTAGTAATCTAAGCTTCTACTTTAGAAAACTAAAAATAAAATAACAAATTAAATTTGAAGTAAGCAGAAAGAAAAAATAATGGAAAGTAGAGCAGAAATAAACACAATTAAAAACAGGAAATCAATAGAGAAAATTGACAAAACCAAGAGCTGGTTATTTCAAAAGATCAACAAAATTGGCAAGCCTCAAACCAAGCTAACAAGAAAAAATAGAGGACACAAAAACTATTAATAGCAGTAATGAAAGCAGGGACATTTACAATAGGTCCTATGGACATTAGAAAATAATAAAGAGATATTATAAACAACTCTACGCCCACAAATTTGGCAACCTAATAAGATGGACCAATTCACTTACAGATATAATCTACTAAAACTCACAAAAGAAAAAATAGATAATCTGCATAGACCTATATCTATTAAAGAAATTGAATCAATAATAAACTTTAAAAACAGGAAGTGCCAGAACCAAATTAGTTCACTATTGAAAGCTACCAAATATTTAAGAAATAAATCATACCAAATTCTCTAACAGTCTCTTCAAGAAAGTAGAAGCAGAATGACTGCTTCCTAACATTCCAGGAGACCAGCATTGCACTAATACTGAAACCAGACAAAGACACAGTTGGCAAAGAAAACTACAGACCAATGTCTCTCATAAACATAGGTTCAATAACCCTCAACAAAATATTAACAAATAGAATTACAAAATAAAAATAATTATACAGCATGAACAAGTGGAATTTTTCCCTGGTATTCAAGGCTGGATCAACTTTCAAAAATTAATTAATGTAATCCTTCACATCAACAGGCTAAAGAAGAAAAATAACATTAATAGGTGCAAAAAAAAATTTGACAAAAATCATATACCCATTCATAGTTCTAAAAAAATTTTTTTAATAAACTAAGAATAGAATGAAACTTCCTCAACTTGATAAAGAAGAGTTTCAAAAACCTACAACTAACATCATCCTTAAAGGTTAGAAACATAAAACTTTCATACTAAGATGAGGAACAAGGCAAGTATGTCCCCTCTAATGACAGCCTTTCAACATCATACTGGAAATTCTACCTAATGCAATAAGACAAGAAAAAGAAAGTTATACAGATTGGGAAGCAATAAAACAGAAAACAGAAACAGAAAGAGAGCTATAAAATTTTAAAATATGTAGAAATTAAACTACCCAATTTTTAAAGCTACTGTAATCAAGACAATGTGGTATTGAAAAAAACAAACAATGGAACAGAATACAGAGCCCATAAATAGACCCACACAAATACAGTCAACTGATATTTGACAGAGATGTAAGCACTCTCAGCAAGTGTGCAGAGTGGTGAGGAGGAGGAATTTTCAGAGCAGTGGTGTGATGACATGACCTGATACTGAAATCTTTGCTGCTCATGGCATTGCCCCCATCGGAAACACTGGCATCATCCAGAAGAACCTTGTGACCTACTGGATTAGAACCTACACTTTCACTAGGTCCCAGAAAATCCATTCCAAACACATGGGCGCCTGAAGCTAAACACTGGGTTCAGCTTAGCCTGGCCCAGTGGACACTAGGTTCTGTCACCTTTCTTTATTAGGCCTTTGTCAAGTTCTTAATCTAAGCCTTATCTGTAAAATGGAGTGACACTCTGCCTCCTACGGTTGTTTGGAGATTTAAATGAGATTTCATATTCAAAAGGACTTCACACAGCATTTTCCTGCCACAAGAGTTTCAGGAATGCTATCAATGGCAAGAATGAACAAATGTGTTTAAAATGATACCTTGCTGACTCAAACAGATCCTGGGTGGGTATACAGACATGTTTGTGGCAGAATTATCTGCAATAGCCAAAAGATGGATGAACCCAAGAGTCCACTAATAGATAAATGGATAGATAACATATAGTATAAACACAATGGAATATTAACCTTAAAAGTGAAGGAAATTTTGACATGTGCTCCACCATGGATGAACCTTGAGGACATCATACTCATTGAAGCAAACCAGGCACAAAAGGACAAATTTTGTATAATTCTAATTGTATGAGGTCCCTAGAGCAGTAAAATTCATAGAGACAAAAAGTAGATGGTGGGTACCAGGGACTGGGGAGAAGGGAATAAAGAGTTAATGTTTAATGAGTATGGAGTTTGAATTTGGGATAATGAGAAAATCTGAAGATGAATGTTGATGATGGTTGCAGCACAATGTGAATGTACTTAATGCTATTGAACTGGAGAGTATTATGCTAAGTGAAATAAGCCAGTGGGTGAAAAACAAATACCATATAATCTTACTTATAGGTGGAATCTAATGAACAAAACAAACAAACAAACAAGCAAAATAGAACCAGAGGCATGGAAACAAGGAATAGACGGACAATGACCAGAAGGAAGGAAGGAGGAGGAGGGGCACAATGGAGGAAGGAAAAGGAAGAGTCTAGTTAAGGAAAAGGTATAAGTGATCCATGGGCATGAACAACAGGGTGGGGTTGGTGTGGAAACTGGGGGTGGGTTGGGAAGGGAGAACAATGGGGAAAATAGGGACAACTATAATAGAACAATAAAATAAAATAAAAATTTAATTTAATTTTAAAATGGTTTTAAAAAGGCAAATTTTATGTTATGTGTATTTTACCATACATACACAAAATCAATGACCTAACTACTGATGTACCAACACCATGGACTGCTAAGCCTGAAGCAGGGTACTACAGCATTTGGACCAGAATAGTGGCTCAGCTCCTCTCAGCTGAATTGAGAATGCTGGAGCCAGTAATAATTCTCCTACCCACACTCATGCCTGAGTTGACTATGGCTCAGGCAATCCCACAGCACCATCTCAACTGAGGAAGCATAGTACTACCACAGTTTTGAGCGCAGAGACAGAGAATCTTTCCGGTAGGAAACATTTGGAAATTCCCTGAATCTACCTTTTCCCCTTTTTAAAATTTAGGACACTTTCTTGCCCCAGTTTTGTGAATTTTCTTATTCTTTTGAAAGTCTTTACCTAACTGGCAGGAGATAGTTCAACATCCCCAGAATGAGAACAGCTGCTCCATTATTGTCCAAGGATGGCCAGCTCTGCTTCAGCTATCATCACCACAAACTCTGGCAGAATAGCGGACTGTAACTTGCCAAGGCCTAAGAGATGTCTGCCAGCAGTAACTCCTCTCCTACCCTGGACCTTGATCTGCTCTTAAACACTGTCCTCTCTGCCCTTCATCACTTCAAGATCTCACTCCTAGATAGAGAAAGCAAGCAAAATATTGGTAGAGTCCTTCTGTGTTTTCATGACATCTTCTGACCACTAGCAGTGTAGCCCATGCCTTTCTCCTTGTCCTCGTGATTTAGGAAAGCCTTTTGTGTTTTTCTTAACAGTTTCATGATTCTCACTTTATTCTATTCTTGAACCTGACAAAATCCTCTTCGCTCTACTGCCCCTCACCTCTGCAGGAGGCTGAGAAGAGGGGCCACACTCTTTTTAGAATCCTAAAAGGAAAGCAATGTCACCGCCAACCTCAACTTGGCCTCAAGGCAACTCCTATTGTGGATAGCTCCAGGAATTTGAAGGACTAGGAAGTTTGCTCATCTGCTTTCACACTAATAATATCCCTCACATAAAGCAACAACATTTGCTTCCTGTTTTCCTGAAAGATCCAGATCTGCTACCAGTAAACATAGTGTCACTGCTTTTGCAGGTGCCTTTTTAGAACTCTGGAGAAATAAGGACATGCTGGCACCTAGCTGGTTCATTTTCTACTCGGGATCCTTTCATTGTAGGATTTTCTTCCCCAGAAGGTTGAAGAGCAACAGAAGAAACTGCAGGTTGGCACTTTCTTGTGGAACAAAATACCTTACTTAGGGAGTTGTATAAGGAACCTGACTGCTAAAGCTCCACACAGAACTGCTTTGCGATCAGTTTGTGAGAGTTAGGAGGGGAAGGATGACACAAAGCATTAAGATCAGCACAAAAATGTAAAATGTAGTGATGCTCAAAACCATTAACATCCTCAGTACTTTCACTGTGAGGCTGAATTGTATACTGGACAAAAGTAGGGGTTTTCTTGTTGCTTTTTTTTTTTTAAGAGGAAATAGTAGGCAAGAAAGAGAGAAGCTTGAGGAAGTTGAAAAATTTTTTGGAAAAGCTTTTCAGGAAAAGGGAGTCAATGAGACCAGGCAAAAAAGAATGCTGTGTGGTGAGCTGCTGTTAGAAATGTAAAGTCATATAGCCACTATGAAAAGAGTAGGGCAGTTCCTCAGAAAATTAAATCTAGAACTATTATAGATAGATTCAACAAATCTACTTCCGAGTATACATCCAAAGAATTGACAGTAGGATCTCAAGAGTTATTTAGGTACCCATGTTCATAGCAGCATTATTCACAAATAGCCAAAGGGTGGAAGCAACTCAAGTGCCCATTGATGGATCAATGGATAAACAAAATATAATATGAGTATATACATACAATGGAATATTATTCAGCCTTTAAAAGGAAAGAATAATAATATACATTATATATAATTGTAAATATACTAAAACAAGGATGAAACTTGAGGATATTATGCCTAGTGAAATAAGCCAGCCACAGAAATACACATATTGTATGATTCCACTTATATGAGGTCCCTAGAAAAGTCAAATCCATGGAGATGAAAAGCACTCATAAGTAGAATGACAAATGCTAAGGGCTGGGAGAGGGGAATGGGACATTCTTGTGTAATGAGTACAGAGTTTCTGGCTGGATAATGAAAAAGAATTCTGGAGATGGATGGCGGTAATGATTATTATACAGCATCCTGAACTGAAATAAACTGTGTTCTTAAAAATGGTGGTAAATTTAGGTTATATTTATTTTATCTCAATTAAAAAAAAATACGTAGTATGTCTAGAGCTGCTGGTTGGCTGTGGTCTAGCTACGCAGAGGTTCACAGGGCCTGAGACCAGGTTCCAACCTTGCTTCCTGCAATGTCTGTGGCCTTCATACCAGACTGGCTGAGAGGCAAGGCGCAAGTCAACCAGGAGACAATCCAGCGGCTCCTGGAGGAGAATGACCAGCTGATCCACTGTATCATGGGGTATCAGAACAAAGGCCAGGCGAATGAGTGTGCCCAGTACCAGCATGTGTTACATAGAAATCTCATTTATTTGGCTACCATTGCAGATGCCAACCCAACCAGTCCTTCAAAAGTAATGAAATAGTCATCTAACGGGCTGCTGAGAGGAATAATTGAATGTAATACAATTCCTGTGAAATGGAGACAGGATCTTTACCAACTCAACTCCTGAAAACTTGAAGAAAACCCTTGTGACTCTTGAAAGTGTGAAAATGTAAAGAAATCTACTACATTAACTGTATTTCAATGTAAATATTTATTTTAAATAATTAAGCAGATACCCCCAATTAAGTTGCCTCCAGATATTTTCTTTCCTGAAATAGGTGTGCTTGGATAACAAAGATATCATGGGCATCTTCAAGTCTACTTTTATAGACTTCAAGTCTACTTTATAGTTTCAGCCTGAAGAGGAAACTGAGCAGGTGCTTGGAAATCAGCAGGAACTGGTTGTGAGACTCTTGGTCAAGACCCTGCCAGTTGCACATGTAACTGTGTCTTGCTTTCTACCAGTTTGTAGTTGTGAGTCCTTTGATGGCTCTTTTCGGGTTGCTTTGAAATGAAGCTTGCCTTTCCACAAAAAGACTGATAGTGAGATATAGAAATTTTCACGTATTAAGTATTCCATTTCCTTCTCCAGGAAAACTGTAGAAACTTTAGAAATAGATGTAACAACACTGTTGCACTGCGCGGTGGCTATAGGGGCATGCCACCATGGCGGAGTACCACAGGGAGCTCAGTGCTCCCTGAAACCTGAGGGAAACCAGCCAGGGCCAGCTGAGGTGGGAGCAGGGCTTTGAAACCCGCAGAGCCCGTCCCGGGGTTGTCATGGATGATGGGGAATAAACCAAAAATGTTGCAAACACTTCTCTGCTTGCCGGTAGAGCAAATGGGGCACTTCTCTCCTACTAGAGAAGGCCATGGCACATCTTCCATAGGGGGAAGGCCAAGACACATCCCCCTAAAGGGGAAGGCCCCATCGCCCTTTGTTACAAGGCTTTTATTGAAAAACTTATCATTGGGCTAGATAACAGGAATGCATACATACAGTCCTTACATTAGCATGGTAAGTTTCACAGAGAATAGATACCTTTAAGAAAACAAGTGACAGGAATTCACTAATTTATGCGGGTCCGAGAGGAGGCTAGTGAAAACAAGAGAATGAAGACAAGGACAAGTGCCTTAATGATAAAGGGTAAGGGGTGTAAATAATGTGAAGGTCCTTCGCGACATGAGTTGACCAGAGATCTGAGGGAGGAACAGAGCACACTCTAAAGAATTTACTTTTAGGCCTGATTACTCTGGCAACCACCAGATCTGATTTAGGGCTGTTTTTCCTGTACTGTTAACCAGGCAGAGGGAGGGAACCACCAAGGGATAAAAAGACTGCTTCTCAGCTGTAATGAGGACTCTGGTTGTGTCCAAACCAAGCTGAGAGATGTGGGGGCCTTTTTGCCCCGTGTATGTGTCCCCCAATTACTTATCTGCTGCCTTCATCAGTCAATACCTGTCTTAGGTTGCCCCTCCCTGAGGGGTCTTACCCGTCATTGGCAAGGACCATATCAAGGCAAAGCAGAGGGTCAGGGGCCACGCCCCTGCCTGGGAGAACATGCCAAGTTGCCTCAAAACCTGTTTCTCTAAGGCCTCCTGATTATTTCAGCCTTGGGGCCCTCCAGCCTGTTGGCAGCGTTACAGCTCCTGAAACCAGGCCAGGTGTTTCCCAACACAACATTATCATTGCTAACAAAATTAATGGTAATCCCTATTTATTATCTAATATCATCTAATAATAAATGATGTTATAAACAACTATTGTTTTTCTTCTATTCTTTTAATGCCGTAGGCTAGGGCTCCATAACAAATGACAAATTAGCAAAAGAAAAGCATACAAGCCCTGAACAACATGGCAATGTGGCTCAGTTAAGTGTCATCCCACAAAGCAAAAGATCTCCAGTTCTATTCCTGGACAGGGCACATGCCTTTGGTTGCTGGTTCCATTCTCAACTGGGGCTGTGTAAGAGGCAACCAATAGATGTTTCTCTCCCTCTCTCCCTTCTTTCCACTCTCTCTAAAGATAAATAAATAAAATATTTAAAAATAAAAAACAAATAAAAATAATTAATAAGAAAGCCATGGAATCCTGGTAGCTGACTGAGTTTTGGAGTCATCGAGTAGGTTCACAGCTGCTACCTCAAAAGAGGTCTGAAGTCTGGGAGGAGGTATCTTCATATCCAAAGCCTTAGAAACTGTTACTTTTTTTTTTTTTTTTTTGAGCTACAAAGTCTGGTCACTACATATAGGAATGGATTCAGGGGAAGGCTAAAACAAGGATGGAAGAATTAATTTTAGATTAGAAGCTTCAGGATTAGTTGTGCCAGTTCCAGCAGCCAAGACAGTTTTAATAGTTCACCTTATTTGTTGACTAAAACCTGGAGACAATGTGGCATCCCTGGTGAAGTGGTGATGCCAGAAATCCATGGCACAATGTGGAGGAGTGAAGGTGTGATGAACTAGGAATGCTGGGGTGGATCTATTCTATAAAAGCCACTCATAATCCTCCAATATGATCCACCAAGAGGGCTCAGAAAACACTTTGTTGACAAGCACACTGAAGGCGCCATGGTGGGTCTTCTCTGAAGGCTGAAATTCTGGTTTGGGGAACTGCAACTGCAATGGGCTCTCTTGTCTGGGCAGACAGTGAGGTCCCAGGATGGCAGGGGCAAAGCTGTGGCACTCAAATACCAGAGCAGGGGGGCATGTGATGAGGTCACCATAACAGGTGCCTGGTAGGCATGGTTACAGATGCTCTGACTGACACTGGGATGTATAATAATAGAGTTGATTATGAGGCCCCCTAGGACCAAAGGAGATTATGGGCAGTCCACTAAGGTGCTCCTTCTAGTATATAACAAAAACTAAGACAGAGGCTTGACTTGACCCATCCTGAAAGAGTCACACATCAGGGGTAAGCACTATAGTTGGGGACACTCATTCTTCCAAAGATGGCCCTGACAGCTTCAGCTGAGATTACCTCTGTTCTTCTCCCCCTGAACATCAGAAGTGCCCTTGTGACTTGCTTTTATCAACAGAAAACAGAGGAGAGATGTTGTCCAAGTTTCCCATATGTAATTTAAAATTTTCTATAAACCCATTTTAAAAAGTAAATAGAAACAAAGTTATTTTAATATATTTTATTGTGTTTAATCCAGGATATCCAAATATTATCATTTCCACATGTAATCAATATTTTAAAAATAATAGTGAGGTATTTCATATTCTTGTGTTTTTTTAACCATATTTAGTCTTTGAAATCCACTGTGACTTTTATACTTCTCAACTTTACAAATTTCAGTTGAGACTTGCCACATTTCAATTGCTCAATCGCCACATGTAGCTAATAGCTACCATTTTGTATATCACCAGCAAAGGAATTCATGGGTTTTGAATATTGAAAGTTATATTGGCATAACTTTTCCAGTCTGGTTCTCCAGCCCTCCTGGAGATTATGTGAACTTCTCAATATGCTTTTAAGAAATTTCTGTTCTATATAAATCAATCAGAGTGAGTTTTTTGCTTACAACTGAGAATCCTAATTAATACACTACCTCTTACTATTTTGAGAATTTTTCTTAATGTGAAATCAAGTTACATATATATATATAATTTTATGGGATTTTTAATATTGAAGGTTTTTTCTGTGTTAACATAAAAAATAAATCAAGGCTATTAAAAAGTTTCCTTTGTAGATATTAAAAAGAAACAATAGAAATACTCAAAAACAGTTATTGAAAGGTTTATCACTTTTCCAGAAAAATGTACCTTATAATAAACACACACATTTGTAAATACCACATTTTCTTTATCCATTCATCTAACAGACATTTAGTTTGTTCCTATATCTTGACTATTCTAAATAATGCTACAATGAACATGGGGAAGTATACATCTTTTTGAGTTAGTGTTTTCATATTCTTTGGTTAGATACAAAAATGTGAAATAGCTCATGATGGGGCTCTGGTTCAAGTTCCTGTTCAGGCACCAGCTGAGGTGGAGGCAGGCTCTGGTCCCATGGAACCACTCCAGGTCATCACAGACGGGGATATAAAAATAAGCTATCCCAGATGCTTTTGTTGGTCTTCCAGGAGAAGGGAGGTGATGATCCCCTCTAGTGGAGAATGCCCCAAGCCCCTGTGCTTGATGGTTTTTATTGAAAGGGTTATCAGTGGGGCTAGGTAGCAGGAATGTACAGGTGATCTCTGTTTACAGAGAATGGGTGATATTTTGAAGAAAACAAATGTCAGGAACACACCAATTTACATGGGTCTGAGACAAGTAAACATAGCACCAATGGTTTAGGGTCAGGGTCTGTGAATAATGTAAATTTCCTTCCCTGCATGAGTGGGCTATCATAGCTTTTGAGGGAAAAACAAAGCATGCTTCACGGACCTTATTTCTAGGCCTGATTTTCCCCTAGAACTGCTCGATACAGTTTAGGGCTGTACCTGCCTTTAGTATTGTTTCAAGCCTGAGCCAGGTGGGCGGGGCAGAGACATCAAGACATAAGGAGACTTCTTTCAGATAGAATGAAGACTACAGCCATATCAAAGCTGAAGGGTGAAGGTCTTTTGCCCCTTTTCTATGTCCCCCAAGTCCTTCCCTGATGTCCCCCATGCAACTGTACCTGTCTTAGGTTGCCCCAGGCATTGAGGGGTCTTACCCGTCATTGACTAACCAGCCATCCTCAGGGGCCAAGCAGGGTGATGTGAGGGAAGCAGGGGCTGTGCCCCTCCCTGGGGAACAGGTTTTGTCTCCTCTGTGGCCTATTTTCCCAAGACTTCCTTGCATGGCTCCAGCCTTGGGGCCTTCTTGCCTGTCAGCAAGGCTACAGTCCCTGAAACCAGACAGGATGGTTCCCAACAAGCTCAAGCATGTGGTAGTTCTATTTTTAACTTTTTGAAGAACCTCTAAAATTGTTTCCCATAGTGGCTGTGATAACATATTTCTATCAACATTTTATAAGGGGCCACTTTTCTCTGTATCTTCTACAAGTCTTCTTAGGGAAAATATCTATTCAGATTATCTGTCCAT